CATTAGTGTATATACAGCAGCAGCAGCACCAAGAATAGCAGCAGCAGCAGCACCAAGAATAGCAGCAGCAGCAGCAGCAAGAATAGCAGCAGCAGCAGCAACATTTGCTGCTGCATCAATTTGGTTTCGAAGCAAACTGTCGAAGGCCATCAGCCTTTAAACCAAATGGGGTGCGCTGTAGTTTAGTTCTATCTATGCTGCAGCAGCAGCAGCAGCAGCAGCAGCAGCAGCAGCAGTTGCTGCTGCTGCTGCTGCTGCTATGCTGCTGCGTTCACTGGGGGACGCCCGTGAATGGCAGACTGCAGCAGCTCGCCGAGGACCCGAGCAACTGTCTCCTTAGAAGCAGCAGATACGTGTTCATCACTTGCTGCTGCTGCTGTTGCTGCTGCTGCTGCTGCTGTTGATGCTGCAGCGGGAGGTTGCTGCTGCTGTGCTGCTGTTGTTGCTGCTAGCTGAAGCTGGGGAGCAGCAGCAACTTCTGCTGCTGCTAGCTGTGCATTTGCAACAGCAACAGCAGCAGCAGGAACCAGGCTGTTGCTGCTTAGTATGATAGCTTGCTGCTGCACTATCAGCCGCTGCTGCTGCTGCAGCATCTCCGCGTGCTGCTTGCTGCTCTCCAGCAGCCGCACCACTTCTCTCTCTACCTGCAGCAGCACCAACACCAGCAGCAGCAGCAGCACCAACAGCAGCAGCAGCAGCAGCAGCAGCAACAGCAGCAGCAGAATAGCAAACCCTAGTTATGTGCAGCTCCATCTACCCCCTCAACAGCAACTCCCCCTGCTGCTGCTCCTACTCCTCCTATCAGTACTCCTGCTACCGCTCCTGCTGCTGCTGCAGCTGTTGCTGCTCCTGCTGCTGCTGCCGCTGCTGCTGCTGCTGCTGCTGCTGCTGTACCTGTGAGCATGTTGCTGTGCTGCGGGGCACCCCCAGCAGCTGACAGACAGAACGAAAGAGAGCGTCGAGGGGGCGGTGGCGGCGGAGAGCTGCCTGTACACCTGAAATACATTCATCGATAGTTTTATAGCCAAGCCGTGTTTTTAAATCTATGAGAAATTCTTGCTGCTGCTGCAGCTGCTGCTGCTGCTGCTGCTGCTGCTGTTGCTGCTGCTGCTGCTGCTGCTGCTGCTGTACAATCTGACGCAGAGATGATATTGCCTGTGCATCTGCTGCTGCTGCTGCTGACAGCAACGCCTGCTGCTGCGCTTCGTGCTGCTGCTGCAAGCAGACAAGGCGGGAGAAGAAGTCCTCAACAAACGGCTCCTCCTGCAGCAGATCAATGTGCTGCTGCTGCAGCAGCAGCAGCAGCAGAAGTAAGAGTCAACCGCGTCATGCATAGTTGAGCAGCAGCAAGCAGCAGCAG